TTAACTATAGTCATACCTTTTGATCGAAAAGAGATCGAGATGGATAAGGGCTTTTATTTTACCACTGTGTATTACCTGTAACAACATTTTTGTAAATACCGATAGACTGATTTTGACAACGTGACCTTGACGCTTGACTTACTTTTCACAATTTCAATCTTGATCATAACTTTTAATGAATGAGAAGAGATAGGGTCTTCGTATAACACAAAAATCAAATGTATGTAACCTGTGATAAAATCATTTCAAATACTAGCATATAATGAACTTTGACCTTGAAGTTTAACCGGCTTTTCCAAAATTTAAACATTGCTTAAAATTGACCATGGCTTTTGATAAAGAAAGGATAACGCTTTCATACATTTATACACACGTATTAGCTGTGACAAGGCCTATCGAAAAAAGTATAGCTTAAGAATTCGTCAATACGGTTGCACACAAATGGGTTTTGCTTATCACCAGCGTGTGTCATGGTGTGACGTAAGGTCATTTTACAAGGTCAAGGTCGCAAACATTCTTTTACTATCTTTTTAATAGTAAAAATAGTAAAAACTTAAATAAGATGAGATCTACCCTTAAAAATTGCTTTAACATTAGAACGTTGCATGACCTTGACCCAAGGTCCTTTGCAACGAGCTCGGCTCTAGTTTATCCAGTATTTTAGTTTAGTTAACACTCAATGGGTAAAAATGTAGTGTATTTGTATCAAGTGAAATTAAATCGGGTAGGTGGCAATGTTATCCAGCTGTAAAGATGACATTAACATTGGATAAATTACCAATCTATAGAAAATGGTTTAACTGTAGATTACACAATAATAGTTTATAAAAAGTCAGTTTATCTGGAAATATTTACATTCGCTGTTTTTCTAGTAAGCCTACTGTGAAATTGATTTGAAAACCATATTCGTGTATACTCACGCGTAGAAATATACACTGAGAAACGTGCGTTAACGTGACATCACAATGATGCTGCAGCGACGTTAGTAAAAATGCAACAATATAGGACAGCGAGAAATTCAAATATTGAGTATATCTTTGGTGCTTCCAAACAAGTAAAATGTAAATATAAGGAATGTTTTTTAAGTTTAGTGTGAATTATTGGTGTGTGAGTTACACAGACTTGCACGTAGGCATATTTTTCATGAAGCGCTAGCGCGCTTCATGAAATATGCCTTCGTGACAAGTCTGTGTGATTCACACACCAATAACTCACACAAAACTTAAATACATTCCTTAAATGAAATCACATTGACGACATTTATGGGGTCATATACCTTGGTTTTCTTAATTTTCATTTTCTTTACTTATACAGGTGACGGTATGTTAGACACAGGTGATTCTACTAAAGATCTGTCCGGGATGTACTTCACCACCCACGACAGGGATAACGACAGAGCTGGTGGTAACTGTGCTGGCTGGGGAGGAGGCTGGTGGTTTAACTTCTGCCATAACGCCTTCCTGAACGGCCCATGGTACCCGGGACACTGGATCGATCCGTGGTCTCCTACAGTGAGGGATGGTACAGAGATAAAAGAGACTGTTATGATGATAAAAACACACTTATAGTGTTCAGTGTTTTTTCGACAGAAAATTTAATGAATTTTTGGATTGTTCTTTGTTTTTTTTTCTCAAAAAAAAAAAACAAAAAAAAAAAAACACGAGCACTAAAGGAAGGATATAGAGGAAACGAACAGTATTCAATCTCATCGTCCATTAAAACAATATACAAAATAAGAGCAGAGCAAACACTGACCTCCGAAACATCAGAGGTGGGATCAGGTGCCATAGAGGAGTGAGCATCCCCTGCCGACCGGTCACACCCGCCGTGTGCTCGTTGATATGATAGTTTTTTGCAGATGATTGGTTTAGTACCATATTCAGTACTGCTTGTCTTACTGGAACACCTCTATGTCAAAGGCGGCCGGAATAGCTTTTAAAACAACATTTTTAGAATTATATTTACTGAAATGAATTTCAATATCGCCTTGTATTAGACAAGAAGAATTTTGAATGTACATCAAAAAGATAAAAAATTATTTATTATAGTAAGTATGCATTGAGAGTGTTGCTTCTCTTTTGAATTTTTTTAATAACTCAAAATGATCACTGTTATTCAGAAGATAGAGAACAGTTTTTTATTCTTGACAACTAATAAGGGGGTGTATCGTTTGAGAGACACTATGAAGTAATCTTTTTTCTTATTATTATCTAAATTGTAAATGAATTGATTTCATCTATGATCTCTGAAAAGATCTTTTTAAAAAGTTTTCCATAAAAGTATGAATTTTAGATATACATTATTTTATACAAAAAGCTATTTAATATTCAATATGCCCGCTAAATGATGTATTATTTAAAATAAATAATGTGATCACAACTGAGATGTTATTGATTGAATTGTATTTCAGCAATTAATTGATCCTATTTTATACTAAGTAGGCACCGTTTTTGAAAGGGTATAGTGGCAGAGGCTCAATGTTATTACTGATCATATTTGGTGCTTAATTATATTATATATTTATGTAAGATTTTTAATATGTTATGTTCAAATTATGCCTTTCTTCACCATATCAATATTTTCTAATGTAGTATTATTTTTATTTTTCCAATACGTAATTATATAATTTATCTTGGATTATAATGTGTACTTTATGTTTGTAAAATGTCCTCTTCATGAAAAGGCAGGTGAAAAGAGTTGTCGTTCATTTAATTAGAGGTCCGACTTGGATGGGGTTTGTCAATGAGTAATAATGTTACAGAACTGTATAAGAAATTTCATTTTAATGTTTGTGTACTTTTAAGTTTGTTTTTGTCTGTTCTTTCACCGTGCACCGGGCACAATTTATTTACTATTCAATAAGATACGTATATCTACATGATAAAAAAAAAAAAAAAAAAATAACGGGCTTTAATAATAAGGAATGCTTTTAAGTGTGGAATTTGGTCTGTATTTCACTAGTATGTACACTTTTCATACAAAGCCAGCCAACTTCAAGAAGTATGCTTAAGTGTCAAGTTTGTGTAAAAGCTTATCGTGTATAAATTTATACTCTTTTCAAATCCTCACCTTTTGTCAACAATAATTGCAATATCTGACAAAATGACAATGTAAAGACTTTTTTATTCTTGATGCAAATTTATTGATGTGTTTTAAGTTATGATAATAAATATATGTCTTGATTTATTGACTTCAATTCTGAAAAAGAGAGAAAATGTTTCTTTTTTTTTTTTTTAGTTGTTTTTAGATTCTTAAGGTGCATTTAAAGTACTGGCATACAGATTTGTGCAAAAAGTGAAATTAATTTTTTTTCCTTAATGATTGTTTAATGGTTGTCTTAGGTCACCATTTAGCACCTTTAAGTAACATTTACACCGCCATTAAGTTACCATCAAGCCATCTCAAAGTCCTTAATGGGTGCTTAAATGTAGCTTAATGGTTAATTAATGGTGGCTTACAGGTCTATTAAGCTACCATTTAGCCATCATTAAGCCACCATTACACAGTCGATAATACTGTTTTTTTTTTGGGGGGGGGGGATGAAAAATTATTTTTCTTTATAGTGAATTGTTATCAAAGTTATAAATGTCGAGTTCACGCATATCTTGATGTGGTAAAAATAATGAAAAAAGAACGAAATTCAAAATTAAAAAAAAAGATGGCACAAAAGGGACATACACGTGGGAGAAGGATAAGCCCACAACGAGTGATAAGAGTTCATTTTAAGGTGATATATCCCTCTGCTCCAAATTTCAATTCTAATAAATTCGAATTGGAAAAAAAAAGATTTTCATCTACGACAATAGCATTAGATTCAAATAAAAAATAGTTTAAAGTATCAAGCGTTGCGTGCTTCTTCAGAAATAAATATTATGCCAAATCATGATGTGAAGTAAATTTGATATGGTAAATAAAAGGTCAATATTTTTTTATATCACAATTAAATTAATAGTATGGGGTAAATATGAAAATAATATATACTCTCAAATCTATCTAATTCTCATTACAAAACATACTGGAGCGTTGCTTTTTGAATCAAAATATCTTTTTCTGAAAAAGTTTAAAAACGCAGTATTTATCACTTAGACTGTTTGTGACAATGTATTCATAAACGTGATGTAATTTTCCCTCTAGTCAATGCATTATGCTGTCACAAAATGCGTCATTTTCCCCATATAAAATAAAATCATTTAAAAATAGCCTAGAATTGAAGCAATTTGTCAATATTTCATTTAGAGCACAACCTCTGATCCAAAATGTGCAATTACAGAATAAAAGATCGAATTGTGAAGACTAAATAACATGTTTGAATTTATCCATCGTGGCCTGTGCTAACATTTTACTTCTTTGATGAAGGTAGTCAAATAAGCATGTTTTCTGCAAAGTTCAAGAACATTGCATTTTCCAAAAACCTGCTTTTTCAATACTTAGATTCTCAAAAAGAAATTTTTATATAGGAAATGAAAGCACGAAGTCTCTACACTATTTTAATATATGAAATGGGAGAGAGGATGAAAGTTTATTAATTGATACAAGTAACAGCTTTTCAAAAAGCTTGCCTGACTTAATCAATTAATATCTGTAAGAGAAGTGATGAACCTTTTGAGCAATACTTTTTCTGTTTGAAATTTGTCTTCAGTTTTTATTTGAGAACCTTGTAAAAATATTTGATTATTTAACTTGTAGAAGAACTATGCCTTTGCTGCATTCTGAACAGTTGTTAACAGAATGGTTAATGTATATGGGTTTTCTGCCAATCGAAACTCCTCGGTCCCACTCCTCGGGCCTTATCTAGGGAAGAAGACCACAAATGTATTGTTAATTTATACGCCATGACCCCCCCCCCCCTTTCACAAACTTTGAAATAAAAGCATGGATGATGTATATAGACCTTTTATCTGTGGAATATGGAGTAAACTTTATTCAGTGTAATGATATTATCTAAAATATACTATAGAAGGGACTTCTAACTCCGTTTTTACTATGAACAGGAAATGTAGAAATTTTTAACATCCGATGATGTCGATACATTCGAGTTTGTTTTTTGACCTCTGACGAAAAGACCCTAGATGGTGCGATTGACTTTTCTGCAAGTAAATTGATCTACCCCTGGATCTAAATTTAAAGCTACACCTATTCTGAAATCTGTTGTCAAATCAGTCATTGTGAAAATTTTAGAGAATGGATATAACTAAATACATATATTGTAGGAAAGTATTTTCTTTAATGAAGTAAACATGCAGTAGTAGTTTGTGTTCATTGATTTTTTTTTCTGAAAGGTGGGTACTATAATTTTTTGAGAAGGAAATAGGTAAAACCAACATTTAGGTCTTTGTGGAAAAGAAATCCAAGATTTCGCACAGGTAATTTCTTTCGTCAAATCGTCTGGAATCTGGTTGAACTGCGTCGATCGTTTGTGGTGATTGGACTAGTCCATTAAAATTTGGAATAAACCAACGGAGGGGAAACAAATTAGAGAAATAATTTCTTTTGTTTTGCATGTCCATATTCTGATACTTACGATTCATATGTTGTTATAAAGGAATAAGATAAAATTTGTAGACAGAATTTCTGAATGAGATGGAGCTTACAACAACAAACTTTATTTAATTCCATGGAAGTTAGCGCCCCCATTCATACAATAGAACAATCCAAGAAAATGCGCGAAGATCGCTTACTCGTGACATTTGGCGCGAAAAGAGCGATTCACCCCTTTCGTAGAATATAAATGGACTGATCCAGTAGTATAGAAATGCAGAAAAAAACGGACACGTTGAAACGGTAAATCACATGGAATAATCTGTTTCATGCAAACAGAGTAAACAAATAAATACTGCATTATTTTGCATCAGTAAAATCATTGTTTCCCTGAAAAATGTTTCTTTTAAAATGCAGGTAAAAGATTTCCAATGTAAATCAGCTTGCACAAAATCTAGCTCTCTGGGTATGATCTATTAGTTTCGGATCAAGCAATTATCAATCCTTATACAGCCTGACGCCGTGATGTCAGGCAATAAGGGCAGGGTCATTTTATGCATAAATTGGCTCTACCTCTTTATTATTTATTCGCCGATATTCATTTGCGCAGTTTTAACCGTGACGTCTTAATCGACTTCCAGAAGCTCTGCATTGACTAATCTACCTTTGGTAGTCCTTAATCTAGCTGCAACATTAATATTGCAAAAAATGATTAATGAAGTTCAATTTGGTCCATATCCTAAAACATTAGTGCTTTTTTTTACATATATTTATTTAACAATTTTCTCCTCATACACAGATATAATTGATTTTACATGATTAATAAAACGCTTATCTTCTATTTTTGTTGATCTTCATTTCACCTCACAAGGACAATGTTAACAATTTATCTAATTCAGCTAGTCTTCTGATCGACAAAAGAATTTTTACAAAACTATTTGAAATATCGGAACATTTTTCATAAAAAAAATATGTATTTCATGATATGAAAAACATTTCTGTTCGAAAAACTGTAAATTATTCACATTGGTTTTATTTATTGT